GTCAATTTCAAGCTCTGAACATGGCGGCGGTGCCACGAAATTTTCTTCCGATACTTGAACGAATGTCTTTTGCCGCCAGCGAAGGCGAAAATCGCCGTCTTCCGCCGCAAATGCCGTTCAATCTCCGCCACAATCTCCATTTCTCTCGTCAGCTCCCCCGTGAGTACAATGAATCTCTGCATTTTCTTAACTCGTCTGTCCATTTTCTTCCATTTGTATTGCCAACCAAACCAATTGAATTCGTTCTTCAATGGGTCGGTGACGAATTTTTCAAATTCGTGAAGAACAGGATCCGAACATTTGGGCCCAAATCTCACGATTGATTTGGCGATGTATTGAAGATCTTCAACGATTTCTTTCATGAAAAGTTCCATTAGAAACTGTTCGTCGTCTGAAATTAGCTTCTTGATTCCTGTTGAACTTGAGAGGTTTTGTTTTACTGTTGTGAATTCGCTGTCTTGTAATCGATTCCATAGCAGAACAAGCTTTGACATTAGAGCTGTGATTTCGAAGGATAAGAAACCGATGGCCGCCGTGTCTGGCTCCGGCTGCACAAGATTCCGGAAAGCCCACCGGAAACTTGAACTTCGCCGCTCTTTCGCCATGTTTTCCGGCGACAGGTCTCGAAATAATGTAGAAATTTCAAGTGGGTAAGATTGAAGATTAAATATAAGAAAGAGACGAGATTGAGCTTAGAAGCTTTGGAAATTCCATCGTTTTTTATTCAATGTTTTGTTTTAACGTTGTTTGCTAAGATTAATGTTCGATTTTGGAGCATATTCTTGTCTCCAAAGGCCATGGTGTGCACCTAGTTACCTTTCCCACCTAGGTAAATACCTTTTTAAAATATTAATAAAAAAATTAAAATTTTCGAAGAGAAATAATAACATGTAACAATTCAAACCTAGTGGCAGGAGATGTTGAATAGTTTGAGTCAGTTATTTATTGTCGTCAGTCTTATGGTTTTAAATTGCACCCCATGTGAAAAGTTTCCACACTCTTATAACGAGTGCTTCTTTCCCCTTTCCACCTAGGATATAATAATTCACTTCCTTGAGGGCTAGCGTCTTCGCTGACACACCATTGAGTGTTTACCTCTAATATTATTTGTAACAGCCCAAATCCACCACTAATAGATATTGTTCATTTTGATTCGTTACGTATCGTTATCAATCTCACGGTTTTAAAACGTGTCCTGTTAGAGAAAAGTTTCTACACCATTATAAGAAATGCTTCATTCCCTTTCGAGTCAATGTGGATATAATAGTCCATCCCTCGAGTGTCAGCGTCTTCGCTGACACACTACTCAATGTCTAGCTCTGATATTATTTGTAACAACCCAAACCCACCACTAGTAGGTATTATCCATTTCGGCTCTTTACATATCGTCATTAGCCTCACGGTTTTAAAACACATCCTATTAGGGAGAAGTTTCCACACCATTATAATAAATGTTTCGTTTCTCTCTCCAACCAATGTAGGATGTAACAATCTACCACCTTTGGAGGCCAACGTCCTAGTCAGCACACCGCCCGATGTCTAGCTCTGATATCACCTATAACAGCTCAAGCTCACCGCTAGCAAATATTATCCACTTTGGCCCGTCACGTATCACAATCAACCTCAAAAATTTTGAAACGCGTATGTTAGGAGAGGTTTCAAGGTCTAGTCTAACAATGTAGTAGGACAATGAGATTTGAATTTCTAATCTTTTAATCATATATTTTCATCGAAACATAGAATGTCACCGTTCATAGTTTAAGTTAGAAAAAAAAAAAAAAACAAATCCATATAGTTGGGAGCCATACTTAAAACATATATTATGTACATTATACCGTTTGTCCTCCTCTTTTGAAGGGCTATAAGCCCTCACAGCCACGATGGTTTTATAGCCAAAAAACCACTTATCGTTAAAGGAGAAATTGTAGCACTTCCCACCATCCACAAATCTCCCTTTCTTACCTTAAACTTGTTGCTTTAAATTCCCATCTTCCTCCACTTCCCCTTCACATTCAAACCTTTCCTCTGTTGCTTCTCTGCTTCTGCAATCCGTAGCAGAAGCAGAATATAAAATAACCCTTTTTTTCCCCTAATAATTTCTCCTCCTTTTCGGTATTTCAATTTTTTATCCTTACTGTCGGATATGGATCAGCTCTCGACGTCGGCATTTCTTCTTGGAGCATTTTGGGCGCCCGGAGATGGCATTCCAGCCCACCTTCTTCTCCTTTGGAACGCCATTAGAGCTCCGTTGATTGCCCCTCTGCTTCAGGTTGCGATGGCGGTCTGTTCCACGTTGTCGGTGATGCAGTTTGTCGAGAGAATTTATATGGGAGTTGTGATCGTTGCTGTGAAACTTCTCCGTTGGACACCGGAGAAACGGTATAAATGGGAAGCCATTAAAGATGATTCCGAGCTTGGGAACTCGGTTTATCCTATGGTTCTTGTTCAGATCCCCATGTTCAATGAAAAAGAGGTTGCTCTGTTTTTTTTTTCTCTTTACCCTTTTTCGTGCTTGTTTTCACTGAGTTAGGCTCAAATTGACATAAACATCTTCGATTCATTTTAGGTTTATCAATGGTCGATCAGAGCTACTAGCGGGCTATCATGGCCATCTGATCGGTTCATAATACAAGTATTGGACGATTCAACAGTCCCAACAATCCAGGTAGATATACAACAACAAAATCCCATCTCAAAACTAGAACTTCTCTTAGAAGAAACGATAAGAAAATGGTTGAACTCATGAACAGGATATGGTGAAGCTTGAGTGCAAGAAATGGGAAAACAAAGGGATAAACATAAAATACGAAGTAAGAGACAACCGGACTGGATACAAAGCTGGTGCCTTGAAAGAAGGCCTGAAACGCAGCTATGCAAAAGAATGTGAATACGTCGTCATCTTTGATGCTGATTTTCAACCTGAACCTGATTTTCTTCAGCGATCTATTCCTTATCTTGTTCATAATCCCGAACTTGCTCTGATTCAAGCTCGATGGATTTTCGGTAACACTACGTTAACCTATACCCTTTTTAGTTCAACAATACAGAACGCACTGACTTGAGAATCATGCTCTCCGGGACTTATCCCGCTATGTTTTTGCAGTAAACTCCGACGAATGTATGATGACAAGACTGCAAGAGATGTCGTTGGACTACCATTTCACGGTCGAGCAAGAAGTTGGCTCCTCCACCTATGCCTTCTTCGGCTTTAATGGTTTGCACAAACTCCCTTTCTCCTATTTGAATAATTCAATCTCTATCTCATTCTAAAATTGTTGCTCAACGCTTGATATACACAGGCACAGCAGGAGTTTGGAGAATTGCAGCGATCGATGAGGCTGGAGGATGGAAAGATCGAACCACGGTGGAGGACATGGATTTGGCTGTTAGGGCTAGTCTTAAGGGCTGGAAATTCTTGTACCTTGGTGACCTTCAAGTAACTAAGTCCTAACTTCTAACAGCCTTTTGCTTCTAAAAGATTCAAATTCAAAAATTGATATCTGCTTCATACCAATAGGTTAAAAATGAATTGCCAAGCACTTTCAAGGCCTTTCGATTCCAGCAACACAGATGGTCTTGCGGCCCTGCAAACCTATTCAGGAAAGTGGTCATGGAGATAGCAAGAAACAAGGTATCCGCAAACGTTGATGCTACTCAGGTTTGGCTTTGTGAATCAACTTAATATTGAAACAGGGTGACTAAGATCTGGGAATTTCTTACTGCAGAAAGTGACATTGTGGAAGAAGGTGTATGTGATTTACAGCTTCTTCTTCGTCAGGAAGATCATAGCTCACATCAACACCTTTCTTTTCTTCTGCGTTGTTTTGCCAGCAACTGTTTGGGTACCTGAAGTTGAAATTCCAAAATGGGGAGCAGTGTATATTCCTACGGCTACTACCATTATTAATGCGATCGGGACTCCAAAGTAGGTTTCTTCGTGTCAAATTCGTGTTGTGTTGGAAGTGTTTTGTAATGGTGTCCTAAATTCTAAGCTCTTATTGGGTTCTTTGTTTCAGGTCATTCCACTTGACGATTTTCTGGATCATGTTTGAGAATGTTATGTCTCTACACCGAGCCAAGGCGACCCTCATTGGCTTATTAGAAGGTAGTCGAGCAAATGAATGGGTTGTCACAGAGAAGTTAGGAGATGTTCTGAAGGGAAAATCAGCCTCAAAAGCAAACAAGAAACCGAGGGTTAGAATTGGAGATAGGTACTTTTCAGTCCTTCCCTAACAACAATAGTTTTCTTAAAGGAAATCACTATACTATCATCTAACATGGGCTTTGTTTTTTCTATATCAACAGAATTCATTTCACGGAGCTAGGGATTGGAGCCTACCTCTTCTTTTGTGGATGCTATAGTTTTCTCTTTGGGAAAACCAACTTCTTCATTTTCCTTTTTGTTCAATCACTTTCGTTTTTCATTGTGGGGTTTGGGTATGTTGGCACCATTGTTCCCAGCTCTTAGTACCCCAACCATGATGTAGAACCTAGGAATTGTTTTAGCAAAGTTTTGTTGCCCACAAAGGCAACAGCTAGCTTGTGAATATAGAACAAAGAGAAATGAATGGAGATCACAAAAGATGTAGGATTGGACTTCGAGTCCTTTTTTTTTTTTTTTTACTTCACTTGTGAATCTTGTTGACAAGAATGAACCGTTTAGGTGCTAGTTCACCTTACGTTTCTAATTGCTAACTAAACCCAATAAGACGCAATCAAAGGATAAATATATAAACAGCTTCAATAGCATTCAGAAGTCGTTTGGGTGAGATATTCTTAATTTTGGAGATGAAATCTTTAATTTCTTGTTCTATGACAAGAAAGAATGATATATTTAGTAAAATGCAAGGAATTCATGCTTGAGGTAGTGAGGTGGGTTCTTTCAGGCATTTCGTCGAACATGTTGTAGGCGTGCTAAATTATCATAGAACATGAAGCATAAAACCAAGTCACAAAAAAGAAAAAAAAGAGAGAAACAAGAAATGCAAAATCAAGAACCATGAAGACGAACTCAGAGATTGATTCAAACAGATGCAATTCATCCCATTTATTCGCCAAAATCGAAATAGCTACACTATGAAGTGAACCAACAAGCAGTGGAAAACGATAGCGTTCAATAGAAAAAAAGAAAGGAATCTGATCTTATCTCATCTCATTCAAAGAACTTTGAGGATATCCTCAGCACTACTGAAGGTAAACGCACCTCCTTCCTCCAAATTCAAGACCTTCACGACTCCATCCTCAGCCAAAAGCGCGTAACGCCTCGACCTCACGCCCAATCCCACCGGCTTATCGCTCAAATCAAGCTCGCAACCAATCGCCCTAGTGAAATCCCCATTCCCATCGGATAACAACAGAACCTCATCGTTAACATTGAGATTTTCCTTCCATGCCTTCATCACAAAGGCATCATTAACCGAAATACAGGCGATCGTGTCGACGCCTTTGGCCTTAAGCTCGGCTGATTTCTCAACGAAACCGGGAAGGTGCTTCTGAGAGCACGTCGGGGTGAAAGCACCGGGGACGGCAAAGAAGACTGCCTTCTTGCCCTTGGTGAGGTCAGAGACAGTGACGGTCTGGAGCTCGCCGGCCGCGTCGAAGTAAGAAAAAGTGGACTCCGGAAGCTTATCGCCAACGGAAAGGGCGGCGGAGATGGTGGATTTGGAGGTAGGAGAAGAGGAGAATCGGAGGGGTTTTGGGGAGATACGGCGGGAGGAATTGAGGGGAAGAGAAGAGAAGGAGAGACGGGAAGAGAGAGTGGTGGCTCTGGAGGGGAAGAGAGAAATGGAAGAGGCAGAGGAAAGGGAGAGAGAGAGCCTGGAAATGGAGAAAGAGGCCGCCATCGTTGTCGAGAGATGGGGAGCAGAGGGATGAGTTTCGAGTGGTTTTGGTTTTTGTAAGGAGGGAAGCTTCAGAATTCAGTAATCGGGCGGAAAATACAAGGGATAATTATATATGGGCCGGCCTATTTATAAATTCGCCCACCAATTATTTAATCTTTTTAATTTTCTTTTTAACGCATTTCTTACTTTAATTAAAAAATATAAATAAATATATATATATATATATATATATATATATATATATAAACTTTATGGTTTATGAAGTGAGTCACTTTATTATCAATTATTCTAATAATTTATTCACAATATTACCCACTTTAGTAATTTATTCACAATGCTTTTATGATAAATTGATTTTATTATTAATTTATTTAAAAAGTTAATCAAACGTACATAAATAACTAATATCAATATCAAGTTTAAAGGGTTGTATACAATGAACGGGGCTAGGAAAGTCTTCCTCGTCCTTACACGTGAAGGTTTTCAATTGTAACAATCCAAGTTCACGACTAACAGATATTGTCCTCTTTTGGCTTTTTTGCTTCTCCCCGAGTTTTTAAAGCGCATATACTAGGGAGAAAATTTTTACACCCTAATAAATAATGTTTTGTTCTCATCGTCAGCTGATTGATTACATTATATGACATTTGAGTAATAAAGAACTACTAGACATAAAATTGAAAGCTCTAAATATTTTTAGATAATCTTTTAAGTTCAAGAATCTATTAGACACAAACATAAAAGTCACACCCACGGCCTCCATCCACCATTTCGATGTCCTTCGATCCCAACACGCCACACATTAGATAAAGAAGTTTTACTTGCGCACAGATCTCGTCGCCAACATTGGCCTTTCTAGTGCTTATTTCTACTCTCCTCTAAAAGACCCAAACAAAGGCAAGGAAAATTGCCTAGATAGATCATGCCATGCCAGCATTCGACGAGCAAAGTTGCACAACAACATGGGCTAGTCCAAGAAACCAACTAATCCAAGCAAAGGGTCTCCAAGCACCACAGGTAAAGCAATAGAGCAATCTGAAAGCAAGGATGAAGTTGACAGGCAATTTCATCTTTCTTACTTAATTCCTCTCTTCCAATGTTGCCAAAAAAAGACAGAAGAATAAGCTAAGCGAACTCGAGCTAAAGTAACATTAGAGATAATATATTACTGAATCTAAAAAGACCTACAGCATAAGTCAAAACTAGCATATGCGATATCTAAAACGAACCATCACCAGGAAAACCAGTGTCCATACATTAAAACTTATGATAATAATAACATGTGAAATCACATCAGAACATTTAGAAGATGAACCTCGAAAGGGTTGAGGGGTAGAAAATTCAAAACCAGCCAGTATCGTGGTTCGGATCTAACGTACTGGCCAGGTTGAGCAAATCCAACACGTTCTTCCTGAAATATTAACCTGGTCACTTCTCAGCACTGTGCTTAGCCTTTGTGTGGGATTGTAACGCAGTTTCTGAGCCAAATGCCCTGCAGTAAAGTTTATTGCCACAATTAGACTAAAGTTTAACCATTCAATTCTCCAAGAAATTAGAAAAACACGTGTAGCAAGAGATACCTCTTGCAAGATTTGCAGGGGAATGCACCACTAGCTGATTTGGGAGTCTGCTGTTTATTTTGGTCACTAGCAGCAGGCATTTTCCCAGCCTGTTTTGAAGGATGAGGAGTAGCTACATGAGGAACGCCTTTCTTGCCATCTGTCGTAAAAAATAACATTAAATTAAGTATTAAAAAACCAAACAATCGTGAAATTGCAATGCAATAACATGGAAAAGGAATGTGGTAAGATCGAGTGGTCAACTCCACATATATAGCAATATAATGGCTAAGAAATCAGAATGTAAAACATGTTCATAAAAGTCAGAAGAAACAAACCAGTTTTCTGGGGAGTGACGAGTTTTGTCTTCTTATCAGGAGCAGGCGTTTTATTAGCAGCCTCTAAAGGCCTCTTCTTGCTTGCTTCGGCCTTCAATGGTTCCAACAATTATTTGGTTGAAAAAAATAGCAAATAAAAGAAAAGAATGCCTGAAGCAATCGAGATTCTCTAAGAATTAGAGAAAGATAGCAGGCTTGAACCTTTTTTGGTGTCTGCTCATCCTCTTCCATACTGTCATCCAAGTCTTCATTTTCATCGTCATCATCACTGTCGTCCCCAGAAAATTCATTTTCATCATCACTGTCGTCTTCTTCACCTCCATTTGCATTCTGAAGGAAACCAGGACAGATGATAAAGAAAGTTGAAATTAAATGGCCATATTAGTACCCATTTGAAAATCCAGAAGTCTTCTTCGCGATGTTCTCTTTTCAAACCTTTTGTGATACTTTTACTTTTCCTTTGTGATTCTGTTTCGTTTTCTTCTTTCATTCATTTATGGAATTTGTATCTTTTGAGTATTAGTCTCTTTTCATTTCTTGTAGGGTAAATCCTAAGATACCAACTTCGTTATATGCCTCAGACAATAACAAATATCCAAGTAGCTCAGGAAGAGACAATGCTCCATCGGGTATGACCATTGTACAGGACAAAGATCAAAAGAATCAAACTACTGCACATGATAAGGTAATCAAATACTGGATAAATTGAAGCGGGGGGATGAGCCGCATTTTTTGGGGATTAGCCGCATTTTTTTAAGTGAAATAATAAGGAAATATTAAAACTATTTCAGAATAGCCAAAATTCTTTTAATCAATGATTTGAAAACCTATTCTTCATGGAACGTTCTCGAGTTTCACATGGAATGAAAATGAGAGCTAAATTAATTAATTTTGTACCCTGTTTATCATGAATCTTTTTTTTTTTTTTTTGAATAAATTCACACTAAGAAGTAAAATGACATATAAGTGCACCTCGTCATCCGAGCTGTCTTCATTGTCATCATCATCTTCATCAGAACTGTCTGCATTCTTCTTAGTGTCAATAGAGCCACCTTTGTTTGGTTCTACAATCTGCACTTTTTTCTTCGTTCCAGAAGTACCAGGCTTTTCATCTTTCTTAGGCTGTGGTTGTGGCTGTGGCTCTGGTTTTCCTGCAACCAAAGTATTATAGCATAAGTAATTAAATATAAATGACAAATACACAAACCTGTATCAGAGAGTAAACATTACCATTGTCAATGACAGCTTGTGGAAGATCCTCTTCAGAATCAGTATCTGAAAATGGAAAAGAAAACACCAAACCAATGCTTATTCATTGATTTTAATGAAATAAAAATAAAGTTACAATGCCTTTTTTGAGAGATAACTTACAAGATTCCTCCGTGGCAATGAGAAAAACTCAAACTAGTCAAGGAAAAAACCCAAGAAAGTGCGAAGTAAACAATTAAACTACAAAACTTTCTTTTTAATGAAAATTAAAAAATTAAATTCAATGCTGAATTAAAAAAAAAAAAAAAAAACTAAAATTATTTAGGAACTCAGAGAAAGGATATTCTTCTGGAAGGAGGGATAAATATCCCGTAAAGTGGACGCTTCCATTTTTCCAATTATGAGATAGCTCAAAGTCTTTGTCAAACACCAGATCAAAAGAAACTTGTGGGAATTTCTCTGAGGATAATGTCCCCAGAACAAGCTTTTGATTGCCGACCTTGACATACAGAAAAACCTGTTCACTTCCTTTGCTCTTGGACTCTCCAAGGCATGCCTGCGGAAATTATATAACTCAACAAATGCCCAACTGATTTCTCATCAACATATAAACAAACTAGCTCAAAGACGATACCTGCGACAGATGCAATATATTCTCCTCTCCGGGACTCACCAAGAGAGGTTCTCCAGCTTTAACCTCAGCACCTGCACGACATATCAATAGCACTGAGTCGTGGAAACACATAGAGCCAGCACAGAACTGAATATGCATATACCAATGTGCTTTTAGTTAGGTACATCGACGTGTAAGAGAACTGAGAATCTGTAGTAACTCCAGCATATCCACCAAGAAATAATAGGCACATGACATAGAAAACCACTCTCCATTTCCAGCAGAAACTGTTATCTTGATCTTTCAACACCAGCCAGATAGTTACTAGCGACAATAAATTACAAATAAATGTCGTCGAAAATTTGGAATCATCCAGCAATAGCAGCTCCAATTAATTTTTTCCTAAACTATAAGTTCAAAAAACTTCTACGCACTATGAATAAGTAGGAACTCATTAATTAGCCAAAAGGAGGGAGCTGACTAAAAAGGCCGCACATAAACAAGAAAATAAAACAACCAGAAAGAGCAAAAACGTAAAGACTGAGATGAAGCAATCCTATCTCGTTAAACAGAACCGATGTAGATTAACAATGCACATCAAATTTCAAACAAACCATGTCCATAATCACATCTCCGTAAAAGAGAAGCGAGTCCAAAATCGTTCAAGTGCCTTTTGCCTTCAGTATCTCAACGCTCAAATTCACGTCATATACACACAAATTCAAACAGTGACGAACTTAATAAAACAAAATAGCGGTTCAAATCAAATTATTCCCAAGATAGCATTGAAAATTAAGAAATAGCAAAATTCCAGTGCATAAACAGGTAGCCTAAACCGAGAAGCTTCCAAGGAAGAATACAAACAAAAACAAAAACAACTCCTTAAGCTAAATGTACTCTTCAACTATTTTTCTACAGTCGTAATACCTAAATCACTACAAAAAATGAAATGAAACCCCTTGATCTTAGCCAATTAAGAAGAAGCGCAGAGAGAAGAAAAAATCAATGAAGAAGCAAAGGAGAAACGGGAAGAGAGGAAATTACCCCAAAACTCCATTGGAGAAGAACAGAGATCAATGGGAAGTTGCAGGTAGGGTTTTTGTTTTTATTTTTGTTTTCCCTTTTTATCTCAACGAAGGCGAAGGACTGAGCCTTAGTAAAGTGACCGTAAAGTTCCGTGGAACTTATAATCAAGTGTTTCGCGTAACACTGCAATCTTCCAATACCTTTAAATGGTAGGTGAAAATTGTTTATAGGGTAAGAAGTAAATATTTAGATATTTGTCTTATAATAAAATATCAAATATGATATATATGATAAACTATAATTTAGTATTAAATATTCTTAACACCCCCACAAGCTGAGTGTCGGATTTGAACTA